GTAAAGGTCATGAGTTTTCATAGGAGCAAAGGCGGCCTCATCTAAACTTCGCTCGCAAATCACTTTTTATCTCACCAGGCAGCTGGTTGTATTAAGTTTTTAGTCAAAGACTCCTGTACACTTCACCTTGTTTTAATTCTTTAGAACGTTTTTTCTTAGAGGCGAATAAAAGGATATTGCTGACACTGCACGATGCTGGGCTAGTGACTTGTTATTGCAAAAAAAATGGTAGCTTAGTTAGTACTGAGAAAAACAAAACGGCGGGTGGCGTAGGAAGTCGATCGTATGCGGAAGTACCGGCAGGTGTATATATCCGTTTGCGGTTTGTTTTATTGTATTTCAAGCGGATATCAAGTGGTCCATTACAGAGAGCTTAATCACGCTATTCACAATAGTTAAACGATTTTGTTTTTAGTCAATAACGAGCTTTTCCTTGTCGCAAGCCTCTACAGAAGATAGCTCTTCCGATCTAGAAATCATCAAAAACTCAAAAGCAGCGAATACTAAATAGTTATAATATTAAGAGATGAAGAAAGAGTAAAGATTTCCCCTTTCGGACTCCGCTTGTTTGTCTGCTAACGGGCAATTGTTTGGAACTTATTTACGCACTCGACGGCGCAGCTACGTCCTTAAGCCGTGGGAACGGAAATGCAATTATTGTAGGGGCCCTTTTTCGTTGGGAAGAGCAAAAATAGAGGCAGCGAATGAGTTTAGCTCGTGACTCTCTATGAATAGCTCTATTTTGTATTTAACTGAACGGCATTGGGAACAATTGGTTAATACATTTTAATTGACTTATGAATAAACACGCTACATAATTTCGTCAGTACAGACGTCATGCATTGTTATTAATACTACACAGAATAAACAAAAAGTAAATAGAATAAAAAGTAAATAAGCTAATTTGCACACAAAAGTTTTGCTGAGTGAGCTGCTTTCAATTAGTGGTTTGAAAGTAACGTTAACTACTCGCCAGATGAAAACACTTTGTGGAACAAAACTCAACAGTACCAATAATACGACATGAAACAGTACTGCTCAGTAACTTTATACAACCACCTCATGTACAACTCAGTGCCCACCCAAATAACCTTCAAGAATTGCGCGCGGTGCTTACAAATCTTTTCAGTGCCACTTACAGGAAATGATATTCAAATTGAAGTTCAGACAGGGCCATAACTGCTCGGCAAGTTGACCTAGGCGGGCTCTAATTGGAATGATAGACAATACTAACACATTCGTTGAACGTAATGCCCTAGATTATTTTTTGTACACATGTTACATGTACATGAACCATAAACGCATAGACCATTAACTGAACCATACGTGTTTGGAACTGGAACAGTCACTTCAGTTGCTCCAACTGTCATTCAACCTGATAATGACAAAAGGTTGGCCAGCACTGGTCAAATGTCCCAGCAACCTATTAAGTATTCAGGCAAAGATCGATGAAGTAACCATAGTGTTGTATTTATATAAACTTCCAGAACTTCCCATCTCCTATCCACGTAGTCAAGCCGAAGTGACGTTCCAATTAACAACTAGTTAGCGCGCGAAATCTCGTGGGCGGGGGAATAGCCCAGTGGTTTAAGTGCTTATTCACTGAAGCACGTGATAATTTGCGGTAGAGGGTCCAAAATTAGTACCAGAAGAAAACATAATGTTTAAACGCCATCTGATGATAGGTGTGAGTCTGATTTTTAAAATGAGGAAAATGAGCGGATGGCAGGCTTTTGGATGCATGTGAATTTTATAGTAAACAAGAATGTTCATCAACGCTCAGGGACCACGGCTCCCACTTTGTCGTATCCGATGAACGCTACTTTTTCGGATTTGCTGTAGGTGCGTCAGTTTAGAAAATAGAAAATCTGCCTTTGAAATCCATTCAGTTCTTGGATTTTCTCGTTTTCGACCAAGAAAATAGAAAAAAAACCAAGTCTTAACGGAGTTACTCAACGACACATTTTAAAAAAATTATTTTCTTAAAGTATTTTTTCTTATTAATACTTTCCTCAAGTATTATGACTGTGATCCTCTTTTGCAGACTAAAAAATAAAAAAAAAGAGTAACATCAGAAAAGAGGATAATAGACAAATTGAAAAAAGAAAACGCGCGAAAAGGGAAACGATCTTCAGCAACGGCGACACACTTTTCTCCCGACGAAGATTTTCTGATTCATCGGTCAGCGCTTTTCAAGCCGAATCAATAACTAGTATTTCTTGGATGCCCGCTTGATACAAGTTTCATTGTCATTTTTTTATCAGAAAGTTACCAGAAAATAACCTGCCGTGGTTTAGGTGCATTTTTTGCAAAATGTATTTTCATGCATAAAAGAGTATTGAACTTATCCGAAATATTTCCATATCTGGGCCCAGTAGTTCGAAAGCCGATTAGCTCTTAACCCGGGGTTTCTTTTTCTTGGGTTCAAAAGCATTTTCTCGAATAATTTTCTCTGCTATTTTTAGAGCTTCTAATCATCAACTTGTAGACAAAAAGAAATGAAACTGAAATGCTTTTTAAGCTGTCAAATCTGAATTCAAATCTCGCACTAACCCTGGGTTATCTTAACCCAGCTTTGAACAACTCGGCCCTGGATGTTAAGTGAACTAGTTATTTACATATTTAGGTAAGAAACAAACAAAGTAGAACAAAATAAAACAGCGCTTTGTTCTTCACAATTAACACCCGCCCTGATTTCATCAAGTGATCCTATTGATAAAGCCGGTGTTACTAGAACTTGCGAATAAATAAGTAAAAAAATAATAATAAATAGTAAATAGTGCGTCATACGTCTTGTTAGAGGGAACGACAGCAATATTCAACAGCAAGTTGATTCGGGTAAATTTTTTGCCTAATAAAACCTAAGTCTTATTCTCGAAAAAACAAAGAACTAGTAAAGGCCTCAATCACCATGGAATTTCTTTTGTTTCAATCTCTCGTGTTAATTCCTAGCGTGAAGAAAATTCAAACTATTTTGCAAACCTTAGCTTTGCGGGGAGAACAAAATTAAACCAGTGTACTGCCACATTCTAGAACACGTCATCATCGGTCTCTTACATCGCCAATATTCTATGATCGCAATACCTGTTTAGATTTAGTGAGTCCTTTTTATTAACCCAATGATGTCATTTCTCCATAGAGTTATTCAACCGTTGTTTTCGTCTAAACCCAGCCCTGTTAAAGCTCAGATAAGCAACATATATCATATCTTAAGTATTTTATTTTTTTCTACGCCCATATTTTAGTGATATTGCTGGGCCAACAAATTTAAGTATAAATAGCAGTAAAAACAAATGATGCTCAAAATCAAGTTAAACTTAATTTTTAACACAAGCTGTCTCTTGAAGGTCTGAGGGATGAAGGTTTGTTTAATTTTGTTTTTTGTTCTATTTGACAGACTGCTGAGCATTAGTATTTTCCAACCGGCTGAGACATTTTTATTTTAAGATAGTTTGTTTTGAGGAAAGTGGGAAGAGCCTGGCAGCTATAAATGTTCCTCAGTTATTTTTTTTTTTTCATTATCGAACACTCAGGTGACAAAACCTGAAAGCATCATGCAAGTGTGCCGATTTTTATATCAGAGTCAGTTCCAAACGGTCGCGTGATGCTTCAGGGAAGCTAGTCAGGAGTGAATTAACATCAGAGAGCTTCAGATTCGTGGACGAGATTTCCTCAATACTAAGTAGTACACGCACGCGAGCCAGCGTCACTTTGGCGGGAAAACGTGATAGCGGTCGCCATTCTACTACGAGTTTTAGCGAGACGTCGTAGTGGCGGAAACAAGTTATCAAATGTTAGAAGTTTTATCATTTTGGTATATCGGGATAGGGCTTAACCTCCTTAAGTATAAATAACCGTTACTAACTTGTTTGGTATAAGAAAGTAAAATGAAGCTCCCCTGGGTGTCCTTTTTTAAAGCACACGCAAAAACTCTTGTTAAATCTCGTACATGTGCTCGTTCTCGTCCTCAAATCTAAAGTTATCTATCTATACATATTCTAATGGATTATCAATTTTCAGTTTCTTGAGGTAAAAAAAATCGAGAAACTTTACGTTGATTGGCCTAAACGGGTGCTTGCAGAAATTTCGAGAGCAGACTGGCTCGCAAAATGTTTTGCAAAAATGGCATGCCAAACAACCAAAAAACACCGGGTCATTACCAACCCCTTACTGTTTCTTGTGGTTGTTTTAAGGACAAAGAATCCTGGGATACTCCCTATTTACATTGTAGATGAGAAATTTGAATTAACCAACAGTACCAATTCTCATTGCCTGCTGCCTTTAGGGCGGACTTCAGATCTGACCTTCTACCTTACGATAAAGACGTAATTATTTGTATTAAGGTATTTCATTTCTGGTTAAATTATACCACATTTTTTCAGTGAAGTGAATCAACCGGCATGGGCGCCTATTTTTCAGAAGATTGTTCAGTTGTTTCATTGATTAACTGCTGATAAGAAATAAGTAGTTTATTCCTAATAAGCACTTATTAACCAGAATGACGTGTGTTCTGTCGGAGAAAAATTCAACAGGGAACGGTTATTTAACATTTTATACCAGAATGTGCGTGAAAATTTCGTGAATCACAACTGTGAATACAGCTGTGAATAGCCTATCGATTTAATTAAAAGTACTAATTAAGATTTAATTTATCGATAATCATTTGAAATTCATGTGCGTTTTATTTTAATTATCTGTTTTTCTTTCTTTCTTTTTTTTTTTCATTGCAAATGTCTTAATTATAACAAAGTACTTTTTACTCCTAGGGAAAAAGCTTCTCTTAAAAGTTACTTGGGAATGTCAGTTACAAGTTAAACGGACGACCGTTGTTTACTATTTTTCAAGTTTACAGCCTTTAGGGTATTAGTTAAAGCGCTCAACGCTGAACATTTTTCAGCTATCCTGTTTACAGTTGAGATTAATAAGCTCATGATGATTTGAATTTCTTGTTTGTTTCCTTTGTCTAGTTTATTCTGCTCTTGGTGACATTTCTCACTACTATGACGTCATTTATTAACTCGTTGCCATGCCAGCAAAGGCCTGGAGTAAAATTAAAAGATGCACAAGTACTACATCATCTCCGTCAAAGATATTTATTTGTAAAGAAATCTAATGTTGGGCGCCTTCCACAACCGAGGAAGACAAGATCGACCACAATACCTGGCACGGATTATTGTCCATGGGACTGGAAAGAGGACATAAATCCCGATAGAGTCCCGCGAACTATCGTGAAGGCTGCCTGTCCTGGATGTTCACATTTTTGTCGAGCTGTTGTATATCATCACAACGTTTTGGTCTCGAGATGCGACGCAAAAACGGGAGACAGAGTGTGGAAATGGAAACAAAAAGTTCTTCCAATAGCTTTTGTGTACGACCCTTACAAATGATAAGAATCGCCTCAACAGAGCCGGGGATATCAAGAACAGATTTTTATTTATATAATAATGCGATTAGTTTGTTCTATGATTGATATTTTGGGGAACTGACGGGGAGTATTTTAAGAATTTCGGAAATAATTTTATGAAGCTTACAATGTAAGTCGTTTAGCATTAAAATGCAGATTATAAAAAGTTCCAAGTTATGTATAGATAGCATCGAAATTTAGACTTCTATGGTTTTCCGGAAGGTCTCATCCACGTTAATTGGGAAGTGGATCTCCAGCAGTTTCTAGTAATTTGATATTACCGAGCTATTGCTCAAGCCGCGACTTATCTCGGTAAGCGGGCCAGCCCGCCTCCTCATATAAACACGAGGACCATTTTATGAGGAATTCAATGAGGCATGAACCCTTAGTACAATAACGCGTCATAAATGTACTACTGTTTAACCAAGAGATTGTTTCAATCGTTATTACGAAGAAATCGGCTTTTGTCATAACGTATTTTTACTATTTAAAAAGGGCTTCGATGGCTTTTTAAATTACGGAGGCCAGGGGCACCCAACGACAGTTTCTTCCTAAAAAAATTCAAAACACTTTTTAGGCTATCCAAAGTTCTTTTAGATCTCTAGAAATAAATTCTAAGCGGCGCTATCAAATTTGTACCTGTTCGGTCATCGGGGGGAACTATTGAGTCGTGTCGAAATTACAAGGGCACAAGTATTATTTTCCCCAAAATTTTAGATGTAATTTAACGCATTATGATCACAGTTTTGACTCCGAAAATTTTAGGTTTCTTTTTTTGTACGAAAAATAGCGTAACCTGGGCAGTGAAATGGGGAAAAAATCAAACTATAGAAAATCGTAGGGAATTTATTAGATAAGCTTCGAAAATTGTACATGAATGGAACGGGCAACTAGAAATTTTTATCCGTCCTCAAGTAATAGAAAATTCCAGGTAATATTTGCTTCTCCGAACAGATATTTTACAGAAAACAGTCGTTGGGTGCCCCTGAGATGTATAACGGTAATGGTATTTTCAACATTTTGATTCGTAGAATAAATGAATCTCAGTTTATACAATATTTATTACGTAGAGGAATATTTAAGAGTGGTGTGAATTGGAGTGGATTTAAAAATTGCAAAATTATTTATTACCAACAAGGACACCATAGGTCTGCTGCCGGAATTACCTGTATAATAAAACAAATAAAACTGTGTTGCTTTCTATTCACTACGAAACATTTCTGCTTTACAATAGCCTCGTAAGTACAAAGATAAACATTAAGTCCCCCCATAAAGCGGGCATCCTGTATTGAGCGAACGAACGAATAGGTCAATCGGTTCCAAACGTATCTACCCCATTTTCTTGGTTGTAAAAACTAGCATGTTTGTATTTAGGCCCGCGATCATTGGCCAGGGGCCCAGGATGTTGACTTATTGCAGGTTTTACGGTCTGTACTACACAACGCCCTCGAGTCTTCTCGTTGCCTCCAGTTAAAAACACAGGGTTCAATGCTCAACGTTCATATTCAACAGACACTGAGTGATGCTGCTGTCAGCTGTATTGTTCAACAAATTGCAGCTAGTTGAATGGAATCAAGAGCCCATCCCTATGGCGTTCATTACTGCTCAAAACACTTTGAGCACATTTTTGACTTTCTGACACCTTTTTGACGTCCAGGGGGTCAAATTCCCCAGTCAGGTATCACATCGTAAAATTTACGACGTAAAACCTTGTACTCGCATCGTTACGTCGTAACATATAACAACGTCTATTTTACGGCGAGAAATCTATTATCCTTCAGTGTACTTTGAAGGTCGTCCTTAAGTCTTCAAATATATCACGACGTCACCTTTACGACGTGATTATACTTAGCATGACACGTTACGTCGTAATCATAACTCTACTTGAAATTACGACGTAAACGAGGAGGTTCGCGTTACGACGTAAAATAAATTTTAGCTACACGTTACACGTTACGTCGTGGATATTTACGGCGTAAAAGCAAGGTACGTTGTAATTAATCCATTCGTCAAGTTGTCAATCAAATAGGTTTTACGTTGTAACTTTTACGACGTAAAATTTATCTGCTTCTTAAGTTGTCAATCAAATATAATTTTACGACGTAAAGTTAATATAGTTAAGTTGTCAATCAAAAAAGGTCCGCAATGTTTAATAAGTTAACTTCAAAGTCTTAATAGATTACCCTCTACAATGTTTAATAAGTTAACTTCAAAGTCTTAATAGATTACCCTCTACAATGTTTAATAAGTTAACTTCAAAGTCTTAATAGATTACCCTCTACAATGTTTAATAAGTTAACTTCAAAGTCTTAATAGATTACCATTTACAATGTTTAATAAGTTAACTTCAAAGCCTTAATAGATTAACGTTTTCAGTGTTTAATAAGTTAACTTCAAAGTCTTAATAGATTAACGTTTACAATGTTTAATAAGTTAACTTCAAAGTCTTAATAGGTTACCATTTACAATGTTAATTAAGTAATCTTCAAGTCTTAATAGATTACTTAATTGACTTCAAAGTCTTCATAAGGTTTAAAATAACTAATATTGCTATGTTAAAATACTATAATTTCAACGCCTAGATTTTACACTTGTCAAAATGAAATGAATTAACTATGAAGTCTCAATCGGTTATCAGCGCTATGAGTCATGCAAAGAGTCAATATTGGTCAAACGTTTTCATGCCTGATATGAGAAAACGTGTATTTCCACCTCTGTCCCATATTTATTACTAAAAGAACGCAAGCGCTGGTTTTCCGATTAACAGCTAGTCAATTTATTGAAATAACTATTTGATCGAAATTCAAGTAATGCCAACAAAGATCCAATTATAATGAAAGATCTCCCCCTTCTGGCAATAACCTCTTGTAACTTTACGCCAAAAAAAAAAACACACCCAACCAACAAAAGGAAGAAGACAGCTGGAGCTAAGGGACGGACCATTAGAAAACTTATGGGGGGGGGGCGAAGTACAAAAAAAATTCGCGCAAGGGAAAATTAAATGAAAAAAAATTCTTGCACGCCAATTAATTAAGGAATTTGATGAGGAAAAAAAATTCCTGCGGCTCGAAAATTCCCCCCCCCCCATAACTTTTCTAATGGTCCGTCCCTAAACAAAATCAAATCGTTGAAATCTTATTAAACTATTAACTAGAAGTGCAAATTATTTACAAACGTTTGTGCTATCGTAAACTGATATACTTGGCAAACTTGGCAAAACTTCTTCCGTATGAGTGTATTTACTTTGTCTTAAATTTAGCAATAAAAGGGGGTGGTAGGCCTACACGACTTTTACCTCATGCCAAAATGCTGCTTATTCCAATAAAGTTGTTTTAATCTGCTGGGTACATTATGCTCTGGAAGGTTCTGCATTTATACTGAGCAAATGTGACTTTAGCCGCATGTTTCACACTGAGAGGTCATGACATACATATCGATTGACTGTAGTTATTTGTTTTCTGGTCGGCAGGATTTGCCTTCTGGTGCAAGCGCATTTTCTTTGACCTCTTTTGAAGCGTAAAGCTTTTCTATTACGGCTGAATAAGGGTTCCAATTCTCTCCAAAGTGCCTTCTGGATCTTAATAACTAAGCGATTTTCTTTAGTCCGTGAGTGCGATGTTTTTCTGCAATGCTGTATCACGCTGGGCCCAGCTCGTCAGTTTTCTTTGCAGAATGTTACATTATCACGGATAGTGACTTACAGATCCAAAATTATAAGAGTGAACTGCAGCTTAAACTGAAGCTACATAAACTTACTATGGAGAATTGAATTCTGACTCAGTAAACTCCAGCTTAGTGTTTTTCTTAAGATAGTGTGAGTCTTTTGACTGGAGCGCGTAGTTCCTCCCTTGGCAATAGCTTTGAATCAGTTTAACAGTCTTTAAACTGTTTTGTTATTGCCACAGTTTGTGATCAGGCAAGACCATGGTTTCGGTTCTCCACACGAACCTCATCAGTGGCCGGGTTGGCTTTGTGCTTAGTTGCTTTTGCAAGAGCAACTTGAGTTGTACTTTGTCAGGGGCACCCAACGCGAACATAGCATTGTTAAACGTATTCTAGTATTTAAACGGTAGATATAGGCATATTTTTATCCCCTAAAAATTTTTCATCTGTTCGGATTTCCTAGCTGAAAGTCTAGTGATCCGAAAATTATAGGGATCAAAACTTACCTTTTCGAAAATTTCAGCCAGAAAAAAGGCTTCCGAAAATTCTAGGTGACCTTTTTAGGGTAAAAATCCGTTAAAAATAGGCAAATATACCATTTATTGGATGTTCGAAAATCCTAGGAGAGGCAGGCAAGCAAGAAATTTTACAACAAATGTTTCGAAAATTCTAGATCTGAAATCGTCTTTCGAACAGATATTCTTCCGAAAATTGTCGTTGGGTGCCCCTGACTTTGTTGTGGCGAGAACGGTACAGCCGTTCTATCTATTGAGCTTTGAACTTGAACATAAATACCCACGTGGCGGATCGAAATTCTTGTTTTCCTATTAGCTTATGAACGATTTTAAGTCTATTCAACATCGATGTTATAGTAAACAGAACACTCCCTCATTGTCTGAGTTTGAAATAAATGAAGTCGAAAGATCCTTTGGCCTCCTCCCCCAACCCACCAACTCTTGCCAGCGAGCATAAAGACATTTAACGAGGCCCGAATCATAAAAGCAATCGTTAGTCTCCGGTGTAGAGTATTTATCAAGCACGTTTCCTTACCCACCGTTTTCCTAACATGGATCAGTTCTTCAAAGCTAACATCTGAATTAACCATGGCTCAGTCTCATCTCGAGATAAGCCGACAGAGAAAAAGTAGTTAGGAATGTGATCTTATTAAAGCAGCTAATAAAAACCTACCCACCCCTTCGTTTACGTCACAGAACTGAACTGCACAGGACACCCAACGAGAATATAGTTCAAAACCACTTAAACACAGCATTGTTTAACGTATTTTAGTATTTAAACGGTAGATATAGGCATATTTTTATC